CGCAGCGTGTCCGGCCTCTCCCTCTGGAATAGCGGGGGCTCCTGTGACAGGGCTGAGCACGGCCAGCAGTGTTGAAACGAGTGCTGTCCTGCCCCAGCGGCAGGGTCAGGAGCTGCCGGGGCGGAGGGCCCTCGTAGCGTGGTCTGGTACAACCCGGCGCTGGTGTCCAGGATTAGTCCTGCTGCCCCCGTGTGCGACTGGAGCACACGCTGGCACCGACGCTGCCTTGTCAGTATTGTCACCGAGCGCACGGGTGCCCCTGGGCAGGGCTGTGCCTGGCTCCGAGGGATAACTGAAGCGGGAAGTCTCCAGAAGAGCCAGGGGCTGGGCACCTACAGAACAGGTCTCTGCTATGTGCCCCTCCCTTCAGCACCCTGCCCCGGGGCCTTGCCGTGTCACCTTACAGCACTCCTGGACCTCTGTTATTTTTTGTTTGTGCTCTGGCTGTGCTGACGAGGGGCGCGGTGGCTCTCTGCTTTGAGAACAAAGCGCGTTTCAGCAGAAGGGAAGCATGTCTGATGTTCTTTGTGGGTTCTGCTCTCCCGGGGACAATTAAGCTCTTTTCTTCCCAGGGCCCAAGCACAGGGGTCCACCCTTGGAAGGGCGGACTGGGGGGGGACTCCTGGGTCAGCACTGACCGTGCCACAGTGGTCTGCTTCGTCCCACCTCCCACCAGCATGCTCTGGTGAGCGCTTTCCTCCACCTTGCTCTTCACACTGCAGGGCTGCAGCTTCCTTGACACAACCCCAGCCGAAATGGCTTGCAGAGCCCTCCTCACCAGTGGAAATACCGTGGCAGGCTGCTCTAAGGCAGCCTTCTTCAGCTTCCCCCCACAGCCTCTGCCCTGTGACAACGCTGGGTTTTCCCCAATTCTTTTTTGCAGATCTCGCCAGAGGAGTATGAGAAACGTGGCTTCCCCGGGGCCAAGGAATTGGCCGCCATGTTCCGTTTCTACACCCTGAAGCCGGACCGCAACGTGGACCTGACCATGAAACTCAACCCCAAAGCCCGCACCTTCCATCGGTGGGTGGCGGACAACGTGGCTGCCTTCTGACCCTGCCCTCCCTCCTCTTCCACCTGAGCTTCTGCAGCACCACGGAGGTGAGCTGTGCTGAGCCACGCTGCCCTTCCGCTGGCGCCCGGGTGCAAGGCTGACCCTGTGGGAGCTGGGAAGAGCTGTGGTCCACGTGGGTGCTCCAGGGCTCTCCTGCGACTTGGTTGAGACTGTTTAGGCCAGTACAACTGGAAGAGGCAAGGCTGTACAGCTGCAGGCAGGTGGGAGAAGCACCACCTTTGCACTCTGTCTTCAGGGAGGTGTTTATCAATTCTGGCTTTTTCACAGCTTTGTTTTCCCAGCATCACGCTCTTTCCCAGGCAGCTCTCAGCCAGCAAGACCACTTGGTGGGCGATGTGTGGTACCTCTGGGCCCCGAAGAGTAGTGCCTTCTCTGCAGGTACCCCTGGCCGGCCCACAACCAGCTCTAGGCAAACAGAAAACACTGGGGTTCCTCCATGGGCCAGGCTCAGGCACCACAGGTGAGCCATGGGGCAGAGCAGCACCCCTGGAGAGAAAGAGTGCTGCACTGGCACCACCCTGGCACCAGGGGAGTGGGCAGAGCCTTCCTGTGCCGCGTGACGTGAGAGCTGAGCCTCCTTCCTGAAGTCAGCTCTCAGCCAGGGCCTGGCCTTTGGGCTCCTAGAACTAATTTCAGTCACTACCCCTGTGAGTTAAGTAAAACCTTTTCAAGACTGTCCAACCATAGGAGTTAAGACTAAAAAGCTCCTTCCCCCACAGCACCAGATGCTTAAGGAGCTGCTCGGGTAAGAGCTCTGTGCTTTGGCAGTCTTTGCCCATGCTTTAAAGGCAAGCACAGCCAGTGGAGAGATGCTCAAGGCATCCAGCCCTGTCCTCTCCTTGTCCGAGAGAAGACCTTTGTTCCTGTTACTGGGGGAGGGAGAGGGGGTGACAGACAAGGTTGAAGCGGTAGACAAAGGGGTAGACAAGGCACAGCACGTGTTAAATAACTTTATGAAGTCAATCTTATTTACATGGATACAGAATCACTTTACAGACAGTTTAATCAGGAGGCAACACGTGCTTTATTTCAGCAAATTAAGAAGGGCAAGACTACACCACGTCCTTGTTTAACTGGTCAGTTAGTACGTGGGCTGATGGTACTGCACAGTGCAACTAACAACAGCGGGCTACAGTAACCATGAAAATACTCACTGCAAGAGCTCAACTCCACCAGGAAGGAGTGCTCCACTTCACTTGTGTTCTCACGCACGTAGGGACAACGACTGACCGCTCATTTATGCTATGAGTGTTGCGCTAACGTAATAAAAGACTTTGTCCCAAACTGGCAAAGGGCTTGGTGATAAACTTGTACCCATTCAGAAGTAACAGCATTTGTGTGGTAACTTGAGTTAATTTGGGGGGTAAGAGAAACCCGAGGCAAAGCGCAGATTCCGTCGCTGCTCTCTGTGCAGGAAATCAGCAGGACTGAGAAACCCCCCGGCTGCTGAGGGAGCCGGGGCAGCGGGGCTCTGACGAGTCCCAGCCACAGGGAGCCTTCCCCCTCCGAGAGATGCGCAGGGCAGGGAGGAGGGCTGTCGTGAAGACAAGGTTAAAACTCGCTGCCCCACCGCGTCTCCTGGGAGAAAATAAGCAGTGAGGAGTTCACCAAGCACATCCAGCACTCAGAAGGGCACCCAAGCGAGCAGCAGCCATCTCAGACTCCATACAGCAAACTGCTCCACTCTGTGCTGGAAGGACAATTTTTATTTCACATTTCCGTTGCTTTGGATTCTAAATTAATATTTCCACTTTCATTTTTACCCAATAAGCTTCCAGCAGCAGTAGGGAGGGTGGAGCAGCCGCAAGAGCTGCATTTCTGCAAAGCTGGCGTTTTCCTTCATTACCATTTCCTAGGACGGTGGGTGGGTTTTGTATCATGATGATTGTTGGTGCCTCAGTGGTCTGTAGCCTCTCCAGCTGGGATTCTCACTGTGCTGCTGACTGACATCCTTCGCTCTCCAGAGCCCACTGCCAGAATGATTCGCTCCTGACTGCGAAGACGATCTGCTGCTGCTGGCCCTTAGCTCCCAGTAGAACGCTTCCCTGCAGTTGAAGCGAGAGGGAAGTTCACCATTTCCTGACCGAACGCGCCCAAGGCACGCGGCAGCCCCCGCCACCCGCTTTCGCGAGCCGAGAGCACCTCCCTGCCTGACCCGCCGCCACGCTCTGTCGCCCCGCAGGACGGCCGGGTTGGAAGCCTGTGGTGGCAGCAAGCTGAGCCCCTGGAATCCAAGGCACCAGAGGCTGCCACGGACCGTTTCAAGTCTGCAGTGCTCCCTCAGCGTCAACACCCCCCCAGTGGCACCCCAAGGTGTCACGCTGCGCTTGTTCGCGTGACGGGGGCGTCGCTGTGCTTTACGCCCAAGGCTCGGTCCCTCCCGGCGCTGTCAGCCCGTGGTGGGGGCGAGTCCAGCCCGAGCGCCCTGGCACTGGCCGCTCTGCAGCCCCAAGGGCAAGCCCAGGCTTTGCGCTAGCGGCAGAATGGCCCAGTCCCAGCTTGACCAGCTAACTGGGAACACCCTCGGTGCTTTGAATTGGGTACAGGCACAGAGTGGAGAAGGAAGCAGAGCTGCAGGGGAGGCCAGCGACTGCCCTGAAGAGGTACCCAGCATTTTTGCTGCAGCAACAATGCAGTTTAGTCGCTGGCTTTTGGCTCCAGGGGACAGGGGACAGCTAGGGCTTTTCACACCAGTGGCTGGAAGGCCTGAGGCTAAGTGAGAAGCAATGCTGTGGTTCTGCTGCTGCTCCCGCCCAAGAAATGCAAATTCTGTTGAGTGTGGGGGAAAGACAATAAAACACAAGAGGCCTCCTACCTCCAATGGGGTGTCAGGAGCTAAACATTTTCTTAAGTTTGGAAAGGAATCCCTCCTTGTTCTCCTCAGCCTCAGGCCTATCCCCGCCTGCGTCAGCGCTAGCCGTGGCCCTGCCACCTGGACACAAACAGCAAAGGGCTGCAGTCAGATACATCTCCCACCAGTAGCCAGCACCCCCGATGAAGCGAGAGGGTTGTTTTAGACGGGGCGTGGCTGAGGCAGCTGGTTTTGCCTGCATCCTCACATACAGGGCTGCACCTGGCAGCGAGCCACTGTACCGGGCCACTTGCAGTGGAAGCACTGGAAAGCCCAGACCTCAGAAGTGGAAAAGACGACCATGAGCCCAGGTAACACCTTTCCCTTCCCCTCTCCTCATCCCTCCAACTGGCGAGGGAATTCTCCCACTGCACAATTGAGTTGGGGATGTCACATGCTTTGGAAACAGGTGCTTGGACTCAAAAGTCTGCCACTAAAAACAAGTTGTCAAATTGACCACAGCCAGCCATACTTTACAGAAGAAAAAAAAAAAAGCTGTATTGGTGATCCCTGGAACAATCTCTTCCTGTTTCATGGTCGTGTCGTGACCCTTTAGAGCAAAGCAGTGTGAAACCATACCAGGAGCCTGCTTCGTGTAATTTCAAGCAATGCTCAGACAAACAGTATCAAGGAGAAAATGAACTCTGGCTAGAATGAAAAATGCTGCAAGTATTTCAGAGCTGGTGTCCAGGTAAGGAATCTTACTGGCAGCAACGAGCATATTTTCCTGTATAAACAGGTCCTGAGAAGTTGTTTGTCCCTCCAGAAGTGGCTACAGCAAGAACAAAGGAGGCCTCTTCGCTGCTTTTTCTGCAGTAAAACTGTCAGTATCAACACCCTTGAATCCTCCTCGAGCTTTCTTTGTGCACAGAGAACACAAAGTCCAGTCCTCCCCGTCCTCCCACAGCTGCCTGCCCGGCTCAGACTGATGCAACAGCACGAAACACCGAGGCCTGCGGCAGAACACGCCTCCAGCCACTCGGGGTGTTTCTGCTTCCCAGAGCAAGGACACGCTTTCAGCAACAGCCTGTCTCCGTACCGCAAACTACTGGCATCGTTTTTAATCCACCTTGCGGCTTAATTGTGGTAAAACCTGGCAGGTTTGCTTTTTAAAAAAACAAGTTTGGAGAGCATTTTTTTCTTTCGGTACATAAATGCCTTTAAAAAGCTGGAATTAAAGTTTTGTGCTCAGAGATCTCTCCCTTTCCCCTCAAGACTGACCTTCAATACTTAACCACAGTGGAAAAGACATAACTTCTGTGTTGTGGAAGCACTATAGAAGGTAACATTGGTAAGTATTTGGCAGATACTGCCTCCCAATATCCTGAACTTCACCCTATATTCCTCGGGCTTTGGCATGTGTAGTGAGAGAGGACCCAAGATCCTGGGATCATTTAGCAGCTTTGAAAGACTCTCACCTTTGCCTAGCTGTACGCAGTCATAAAGACCCTTTTTGGTTTCAAGCATAAAAAGAAATCCAAACGGCTTTAAGCAGCTCGTTGTTCCAGTATGAACAAAGAAAAATCGTTTTCAAGTAGCAAAAGACAAAGCTCTTGCCTTACTTTCCATCACATGTTTTGCCTTTAGCTGCTGCTGATGCCAGGTACCTCACCCCCAACACCTAAAACATGTAACTGCTGAATCAAAATTTGTAATGTGGAGCTGAAAGAGCAGCTCTGCGAAGCTCCCAGCTGACTTCACTCCCTCCAGCAGGCTGGACGCTGTGTGCAGCCAACGCTCAGCGCCAGTGAACGTTCCCCCGTGTGCAGAGCACGGCTCCGAGCAGCCTTGACAGCCCCCTGCGGCTTTCAAGGAGAAACGTCCCCACTGCGGCGGGACGCACGAGGGGTTAGCTCACACAGAGCTGGCCTGAGGCATGCTCTCTTCCTCCACCTCTGCTGCTAAGACAAGTGACTTCTGCCACGGGGCAGAGGCAGGGAGAAGAAGGCATTCATCACCACAGCGAGACTCACCACAGCTGGTCAGCACCCCGGAGGGTCTCCACACCCGCTCTCTATTCTGCGCAACTGGCCCAGAAGTATTCAAGCAAAGCTTTCTGGGAAGAGGCCACCTCCTTGCTTTGGGCTACAGCCCATTAACATCACCCTAAAGCGTTGTCCAGTACACCATGCCTGGCAGGTTGTGCGGACAGGCTGTCTCACGGTGACCCTGGCTCCCCTTCCTCCCCAGGCCACCTCCATGAGGAAGGGGCACTAACTCCCACCGCTCACCTGACGCGGTGTTTGTGACTCCGTTCACCGTGCCGTCCATGTCCGCCTCGTCCTCGGCATAGCTCATCATTAAGGCTCTCTGGCGATCCGTCAGCCTCCTGCAGGCCCAAGACAGAGGGGTTGGTTACGGCTGCCTGTAGGGACGGATCTACCCACAGACCTCCTTCGCCTTCTCCAGCAGCACAAAGCAGCTACTGGAAGTACCAGATGAACACACCTGGCATACACCGAGAATCCCTACGGTGCTCTAAGATGGGCAACCTGGAAAGAATAAGCCCCAGTGGGAGAGATACAACCCGCTGCATTTCACCAAACTGAAAAGCCAAAATATTTTGAATTTCTGAACTAACATCTGGTGGGGAGACCTCAGGAAATGAACTCCACTGCCGAGTGCAGTGATACAAGCTAAAAATTTCCCTTCACCACAGGAGTCCAGCGTGGCCAAGTGGACTGAAAAGCAATAGCCAAGAAGTTCAGTTCCTTTGAGCCATGTTACAGACTCATTACAAGCCAAACACTGAATTTACATAGCCGGGATCCAGACAGAATCACAGATGGGCAGGCAAATACGCAGGTGCAGAACTACTTATTTCCAGGGTTTAGGATTTTTAGGGCTGGGTTGCCAAATGGTATTATTTAAAACAAAACAAAACAAAAAAAGTCTAGCTAATAGTAGAGTTAAAAGCAGAGTGAGAAATTAATGATCTTGATAAAGCAAAACCTTTCACAAAACCTTTCTGAACAATGTTTTTTGCAAAAAGTTCAATATTTCACAGAAATTTGTACTGGCTCTACTTACTGAGGAACTTTTATCTTTATGTGAATGTAGTGGTCTCCGTAGCCGTAACTGTTAACCTTGGGAATGCCTTTCCCACTCATTCGAATTCTCTGGTCTGGCTGAATACCAGGGGGTATCTACGAACACAGAGGTGTTGCACTCATTACTCTCGTTTAACCAATGATGTTACTCCTCTATAAAAAAATAACTGCTTCTCCAGCAAGCTTCAAAGTGGGATGGGAGAGATCTGGTACGTTCCTGCACGTGGACACATGCAGAAGCTACGTCAGTAACGACAAGAAAGCTTTTGAAGGGAGGAGTAAAGAACCTCAGCCAGTCTGTCCAGCAATCTACCCGGCCCTTCCCTCCCCTGTCCCTGCACAGCGATGGCCAAGGAGGTGTGACCAGGCAGGTCACCAACTACCTGAGGCTCAATCCTGAAGAAGTCTGAAACGCAGTACTGGCAGACTTCGGAGACTTGCACCACCCTTGCGGCAAAGGAGAAGCCTCTGCTGTCCCACACCGACTCATGCCCAAGCTCTTCCACAGAACGGTACTTACTGTGATATTGATTGTCTCGTACAAGCCTTGACATCTGGCTGTGCCTCCCAGGACAGCCTGTGCTATTGAAATAAGGAGGTCTGAATGGATATCTGCTCCATTTCTTCTGAACGCGGAACTTTTTTGAACCTAAAAGGCAGGCAGTTCCAAAGAGAAGTGAGCACACCATCACAAAGTTCTCACAGTAAACTGCTTTGAAGGTTCTCAGAAGAAAACATACCCGAACGCTGTAGTCAGACCCTTCACCATCCACAAGCTGCATAGCTAAGAAGTGTAAGTTCATGCTCAGTCTTTTAGAAGAAGATAGATCTTGACATAACCGTAATTAGCCAGAGGCTTAGGAGGATGCCTGCTGCCCATCTCAGCAACTCCCTCCCCTAACCATGCTGTTAATTTATCAGTATGGTTCTGCAGAGACAGACAAGACACCGCCTTGTCCACTACCCTGAACAGGGGAAAGCTAGGGAAGAGGGAGGCAAGCACCTTTGCAGCGGCCTCACAAGCTGGAAGACAACTGAATCCTCCTACACCACAAAAAAGGTGCGAAAAAAAGTGTTCTCCTTGACAGAGCCTCCTGTGACAGGAAACCTACAGGAGAAGAGGGCCCCAAGAGGACAGCTGAGCAGCCAGCCTCTCGCGGGCCCTCCCCCAGCACTCCACACCTGCGAGCAGGCAGCTCCCTCGCACTTCCAAGTCAAAGACTCAAGGCATCAAGAACCTGCTCTGCACTGATGCACGCGACCACAGGGCCTCGTCCTGGAACGAGCAGCGCGATTCTTCACGAGCAGACTTCACCCCTCGTTACAATGCAGATCTCTGCTACCTCAGAAAGTTCACGTGGATCGTGTTACCTCAGCTGTTTCAAAGGATCACTCGCTCTTCCTCCGCCATCCATCCCCCATTGAGACAGTCGCTTCCCAGGCAGTTGTGAAGGGAATGAGCAACCAACTTAAATACGGAAAACAGCCAACACCGTAACGATACATACCCTGAACGTAATGAAAATTTCTTTCTTCCCCACAGGCATCCGAACTGTCTGCCCATCCTCAACGCCTGCCATCAGAAAAAACAAGAGGGAATGTTACCTTGTGTTATAATCCACGCGCTACTTGAACACCTACAACCCTTGCCATCCCCAGAAGCCGGCCACCGCAGCAGCACCCGCACATCCAAGAGCACCAGGCACAAGACCTACCAGAGGGCAGCTCAGAAACACTCTCCACAGCAGCCCAGGAGCTGTGGCCAAAGGAAGGAGGTGTCAGCACACGTTTATACCTCTGAGGTGACCACTGCGCCCCAAGCAGGCTCGTGACTTCAACCCCTACAGCGTCCTTTAGGGAAAGGCATCGGACTAAGGAACACGGCAGCCTCTACAAGCTGCAGGAACATTACAGGCTGCTCACCCAGGGTGGTTTCAAAGCAGCAAGGCTTCAGCCCCACCGCTCACTTTATCCTCTCTGGTGAGGAAGGCCATCAGGACACTGTTCTGAGCCAACCTAAGGCTTTCCAGATTCCCACCCTCTCCCCAGGCTTCATCAAGGACAAACACAAGACCCAAGGCAGCAAAACCTTTTGAGACTTTCACTCTTCAAAAGCTGCCTAGAAGGATCCATGCGAGAGCCAAAACCTCAGCTCACAAAGGGCAAAGCAAATGTTTCTATCCACAGCCATAAAGCTCATCTCATTCCTAGCGCTTTCACTTGCCAAGCTACCGCCTGCTTTGTCCTTAAGAGAACTCCTCTGCAACAAAACTGCCCCCATTGCTCTCACTCGTACCTGGCAGGGACCAGCCGTGCTTTGCAGGCAAGTGCCTTGCTGTTGGCCAAGCAGTAGCAAGCACCTACAGTTATTTAGCAGAGGGCGCCACACCAGTACACCACTAACCAGCTGGCACGGGAACCACCACCGTCTTCTTCTGTTTGGTTTGCCCCGTTCCTCGACACACCACGCACGGCGTTGTTATGATGGAACCACGGCCACCACATCGCCGGCACGTAGACCGCATTACAAAAGGGCCGGTGTTTATCGTCTCCTAGTCAGGAAAACACAAATTGTACAAATATTTAGTACCGAGATGGTACTTTTCCCTTCCACCAAACGCTGCCCGTGACTGGCCCAGCACATCGCAGTCCTCCTAACTCCTCCTGACAGGACAGCGATAGCCTTCAGCAGAAAACCACTTCACAAATCCAAAGAGGATGCTGCTGGTGAGAAGCTGGATCAGGTTCGATTGCCACCGCATTCTGATTTCCACTGAAAACCATCGCTACTACGAGCAACTGTCTTGTGGCAAGCGGAAGGGAAAGGCCACACCTTCCACCTCTAGGCTTTAACGTGCAAGCAGGGACAAAGCTCCTCACAGCACTATCTCACCAGGAACTACAAACACCTGTATGCTGAGGAATCCGAGGACACGAGTTATTGCCGGTGTCCAGGAAAACGTTATGGAGACCAAGCTACGGACTGAACTTGCAGCCTCCTCTGACCAACTACATCTGTTCAGCAGAGAAAGACACTCTGGTCACAGACCCATTGCCATTTTGATGGGTGGAAACTGAAAGCCTGAAGCTTGATCACTACACACTGTAAGTAACACACATCATCTTATTTCATGGTTACCCTTCAGCTAGCATCACCCTCCTCCTCCCTCCAGCCCTCAATTCAAAGTATTCCGTTTCATGCCCAAGTAATTTCAGAATTGTTACGGTATATAAACACGGTTAAGTCATTTCAGAACTGTTACGCTACATAAATCCGCTTTGCTGGATGTACGATACTAGATGACCTAGGCCTGAAGGCCACCGCTGTCAGCTGGGCACAGCGCTCTAACACAACAAAACTCTTCCTAGTGCCTGTGAACATCAAGTCCACATTAACTCAGCTTCACCCAAGAGAAGCTGATGACTGTATTGAGAATTCTTCCCTGTGGAAGGGACTGACTTGCCCCAAGAAGGAAAAGCACAGCAGAACCTCTGTCTCAGAAAGCACTTACCATGCCAGTGCCACTGCAGTAGTGACAGCGCTGCGCTTTGGTACCAGGTTCGTGTCCTTTGCCGTTGCATCGCTCACAGGAGTCATTGATGTTCACCACAATCTCCTTGTTAACGCCTTTTGCGGCTTGGGTGAACGTCAGTTCCATGATATACTGCACAGGAGACACGGACAGCAAGCTGCAGCTGATGTGCGATGGGGTCTTAAGCAGACTGAAGTTGGTTTAGGCCAAATTTCTCCCCCCTGCCCCACTACCTGGATGTATTTTAAGATATTTTACACAACTCTTTCAGCAGGGTTTGCCTCATTGGAGTGAGCGATAAACTGTCTCATATAAATAAAAGGAGGTACAGAAGGAGACCAAACACTACAGGAATGATGATTACACCAGTCTGACGAGCAGTTGCGTAACAGAAACGAGATTAAAAATAGAAAAGAAGGATGTAAAAATAGAAGTCAGGCCCTCTTCAGCCCTCAGGAAAACCCTGACTATTTCTAAAGGTTTTGTTCAATAGGAACGCAGCAGCAGGTGAGGGCGAAGGCTTTCAACCCCAATGGCAGCATCTGCCCTTCCTCAGTGAACTCTGCATTTACCAAGGGAACTCATCAGCAAAGATGAATGCACAAAATAGGAAATTCCGTTTCTAATAAAAAGGTCATTTATAGTCAAGCCCGAAGTACCAAATACCGAGCATCTCTGAAGGCAGCACACGAACCAACACTGTCCACACTTAACACAGCACTTACCTGCAGTACAAAGAACAAGTGATCAGGTTTGTTTTATTATGGGCTTCACTGCAAAGTTAAGCCAATTAAGTTGCCAACTTAAGCCAATTAAGCAGTCAAACCTCACGCTGGAAGGCTTGTTTTATAGTTAAAAGGTATTTTGTGGTTTTTAGCATTACAGATCAAAGCAGACAGATGTAAATCAAAAGATGCCTCTACAATGATGGGACTGCTTGGCAGCACCAACTGGTGTCAGTAACCACCAGATGAAGCAGCTGAAGTCCAGAAAAAATATTCTGTCTGGAGGTGTGGAGGCCAGATCTACACGGCTTACCAAAAATACGTGACTCTCCCACCCATACAACGGGACAGTCACATGCCTGCGTTCCCAGAAGCAAATTCTTTGCTTCAGCTCGCTCCCAGAGTGGTCTGTGACAGAACAGTGTCCCTCCCCAGCTTTGGAGTTTTTAATTGCTCATTTTCATTTAATGACTCAGAAAATAAACACCCTCGATACCTCCTGTGGCTGGTCAAAGACATTCTGAAAATCGCCGAAAGCGGATCCCGAAAACTCTCCGAAGATTTTTCGGAAAAGCTCTTCGGGATCAATCGAGGGCCCGCTGCTCCAGTACTGCCGCCCCGCGCCGGCGCCTGCTGTGCCCGGATCAAAGCTAGCCGTGCCGTACGCATCGTATTGCTTCCGCTTCACTTCGTCACTTAACACCTGTGAGGCAAAACAACGATGCCATCAGGACCCCGAGGAACTGTCTCTGCAGAGCAGCGTCTCTGAGGAGAATTCAAGGCTGCTGGCATTCTGCCACCAGCCCAGGTTCCCAAACCCTCCTGCCGTCAGGAGTGCTACCCCAGCTCTCAGCAGCACGGGAATTACTGAAAAGCTGCTTCTTCCCTGGTACTTCTCAGCTCACCATCAGGAAAATGACAAGATCTTACTAATTTTTGGTAAGCAAGAATAACTGACATCCTACAGTTGATCATTAATGTATTGTGTAAGAGCTGGCGACAGGAGCGCTGGGGGAAATTTGAAAACCCATGAGAGCGCAAACCAGCACAAGAAGATTCCTGAACAAGCTCAAGAGCAGGAGGAAACAGTGCTGGGGGAGCATGGTGGAAGGTACCTCTGTCTCACACAGCTAGTAACTGCTGACAGGTTTTTTTGTCTATTTAAGCTGACCAATAATTCCACTGCAGTGACCACTGCATCTGTGCCAGTCGCCCACCGCTAGGAAAGAGCACAAATTGGAAGAGCCCAAAACATATCCAGCTAAATCAGATACGTGAGCTAAGGAATTTCCTGGAGACGCTGGTGGGACAAAGACATTCAAGCCTGAAGTACAAGACATTAAAAACCCGCCGCAGTTTTACAGGAAGCGCACACAAGAAATGTTTCTCCCCATCCACCCTCCAATCTTTCCTCCTTTGCGTCATGATAAAATCCTGCATATTACCTCGTAGGCTTCTGCCAGCTGAGAGAACTTCTCTTTGGCTTTAGGGTCATCCTTATTTGTATCAGGGTGGTATTTCTTTGCCAGCTAAACAACAAAAATTCAAATATTAGAGACAGACAAAAGTAATTAGAATGGCTCACGTGCCAGGAAAAACACATTAGGCGGAGTTTGCCGTTCACTCTACATTTTAGGGAACTAAAGGCCTTCATTTTCCGTTATCATCTCAATATAAGGAGCTACAGAAGCTGCTCCTGAATCTCTCAGCAATCCCAGGACCTTCAGGAAGGAGGCCCGAGATGACAGCAGAGGCAGACCTCACTTTTGAAGGGCTCCCCGAACCCACACACGGAGTTTTCCCACCGCTACCTCCCCCACCGCTACCTCCCCTTG